AAAATCACGAAATGTATGCCATAAAGTGTCGCGAGACTATTCATTATCTTGTTTTTCTTTTCTTCCATGTTTCAAAAATTTCGTTTTTTTATATGGTAGTAGGAGACTCATTATTCGTCGGATACACAGCTAAAATCTCAGTTGTATCAAAAAGTTGCAATTCACTCATATACAAACGTACTGCTTCTTTTTCTTCCACTTTGCATACGATTAATGATTTTCTTTCGGATGATTGATTTACTAGGGATGCCATCGATATGCGAGAGCTATCACATCAACAGATAGTCGAAGCTGAAAGACGAAAGGTTCCTATGAATATTTCACTTCAAAATCGTATTACCATTAATATAAGTGGAGTTCGTTTTGAAACATTCAAATCTACTCTGGAAGTCTATCCAAATACGTTGTTAGGCAATGCAAAGCGGCGCAAATATTATTATGATAATGTTCTTGATGAATATTTCTTTGATCGTCATCGAGGTTGCTTTGAAGCTATTCTCTATTATTATCAATCGAAGGGTCGATTACGTCGACCAAATTCGGTACCACTCGATACATTTCTTGAAGAAATCACATTTTTTGATTTGGGTCACGATGCTCTTGCTCAAGTACGCAAAGATGAAAATTTGAAAGAGGTTGAAAAAACTCAATTACCTCGAAATCGTTGCCGTCGATATATTTGGGCCACTATGGAATATCCAGAATTTTCATTCATTGCCAAACTGTTTAATATTCTATCGTTAATTATTATTCTCATCTCTACGGTTACCTTGGCAGTCGAATCGTTGCCACAATATGCACATTTATCAGAAGATGCATGTCAAAAACAAATTAATCAGAATAAAATTGGAATGAACAATGGTTCGATGAATTTGAATGACGTTCAATCGAACGAAAGCACATGTCTTCTCTATTTTTCATCGCCATTTCATCGAATTCAGGTTATTTGTATTGGATTTTTTACTCTTGAACTGATACTACGTCTACTCAGCACACCATCATTATCTAAATATTTCAAGAGTTTTATGAATTGGATCGATATAGTTGCTGTCATTCCGTTCTATATCAATCTGATCCTAAATCTTGTCGACCAATTGGGCAATCAGAATACTAGTATTTACAATAGTCTCGCATTATTACGAGTTCTTCGATGTGCTCGTATATTTAAATTTTATCGAGTTTTTAAAAATATTAAAACTATACGTGTTCTTGCCGTGACAGTGAAAGAGTCGATGCCCGATTTTCTTGTTTTGGCAGTCACATTGACACTAATGGCTTTTCTCTTTGGTGCAGCTGTCTACCTCATCGAGAGTACAAATGAGAATTCGGTTTTCGACTCTATACCGAAAGCTACCTATTGGGGTATTGTGACAATCACTAGTGTTGGGTAAGAATGCCTGTTTTCATAAAAAAGTGTTGTTCGACAACAAGTGAAAAAAATGAGAGACAGAAAAAGATTTTTTTTGGGTTGTTTTTTCATTTTTAGCTATGGTGATTTAGTGCCGGTCACAGCTCTCGGACGTTTGACTGCTATGCTATGTGCATTGACTGGTGTAGGCACTATTGGTATGCTTGTTTCAGTTCTGGTTGATCGATATCAACGAGTATATACACGTAAACTCTACATCAAACCTGAACAAATTGTCTTCAACGATTACTCCGATGAAGAAAATGAAGATCTAGAAACGGGACATGGAAATTCCTGTACTGATCCCCTCATTGTTAGTACTAACGACAAAAACGAGTAAGAAAAACTCCATTTGATCAATCAAAACAAAGATATTGTTCATAGATATGATATTGAAACAAGTTTGCCGACTTCACTAACTTCATCCCTCCCATCACCAAATTTAATAGATCAAAGTAACCCTCAATGGGATTTCGTCGACAACTCTAAGAATAATGCCAATGAGGTATCACAAACAGTGATTAACGAAATCAATTCCATTACGCCCAGCCAACCATTTGGTACTATTGCGATTTCGGTACGTACGAATTCTGATCTTTCTTACATTCATTCGATATCATCGTGTATTTAGGAAACTGTCGATGTGGACAAGAACAATACCGATATGTTGGCAACCATGACTACCAAAACTGCTGTTTAACGAAAAACCGTTACTCTAATATCTAGTGCTCCGGATTTACTACCAATCATTGTAAATCAGTACTCGAGAACAAGAAGCAAACACTTAGAATTGTTTTATGCCTAATAAAGGGTAACAAAAGATCTCATTGCACTACATGTAGAACATATAGTGAGGGTGTGGGTGTGGATGTTTGTCAGCAGTAAAGGAAGATCTGCATCTGCAATGATCTCTTACCAGGTCAAGAAATTCGATTGAGACGTCCATATTCTGAAAGTTTTCTATTTCGTTTATAAAATGCATCATTCGAACAACGCAATACAGGGGCGATCTATCGTTTTCATGGTCATAAATGCAATGAAATTACATATTACGCTTTGGTAATGTTTGAATAGAATTACAGCATGTTCGCCAAACGATTGAGTTGTTCTTGAAATTTATCATCGCCCTTGTATCCTCTACTTCTGCATGCAATCAACATCAGTAGTAGTCTAGTATGCAAATATTCTTATTCCTATCTCAATCGCCCAATTGGTTGTAGTGAGTAAGGAAAAGAGTGTTTCCATTGTATTTTATCTTTTTGAGTTTTAGCAAATAATTTATTTTTTGACTTGATTTTCGATGCTGTAATTTCGAAAGAAAATTTTCCGCAATCATTTCTCATTGTGTTGTATACGCTGATTGAAAGTACGTTTCTACATAAGAGCCCATTCAGTGTGAGAGAGCAGAACATCTTGTTTAGATGTAACCGGATCCTTTGTGATTAACCTTGAATTTGAACAGATATAAGGTTATTGATAATTTGCAAACATATATAACATTTAGTGAAGCAAATGATTTTTCGATTATTATATCAACACACTGTCTTGCTCTTAGGCGTTAGTACAATGAAGAATATCAGCAAAGATTATTATAATTTATATATTATGCATTCTGCTAATCATTGGCATACCTAGTGACAACGTATCAAAGAAGCTCACACCGCTTCTATCTACTATTTGCTAGCAGGATTCTCGTGTGATTGCGAACTATCTGTTCTATCTGAAAAAACTAAACGGACACTTTTGTAGCTCAACATCTAGTCTTATTTTCTGCCAGGAAAACCTATATAAATATGTGTTCAACAGTATCTATCAGAATAAACCTAATTTAATCGAGAGTAATAATGTTGAAAGTAAAATGTGGAAGATGAAAATGTCGAAAAGTAAAATGTCGAAGATGAAAATGTCGAATTATAATGATGTTGAGGAAGAAAAACGGAGGATTGCAACAGGAGATATAAAAGTGAAGGAATTCCTCCTTTCACACACTATCATTTTCAACATTTCTATGAGTTTTATTTTTGATATTTTTACCTTTCAACCAAAGTAGGATATGCCGTAGGGATAAGTCGATACAAGTGTTGAAGTCGTTGAAGAACTCTTCTATCTTCTACAGTCACATCTGACACTCATAAGATGTAGACTCGTTTGCTTGTTTTTTACAAGTATACATTGAAAAAAAATGTATAAATAATAAACTTTTAAAGGGTTTATGAAATTGCAACATATAAAAAAAATTCTTTTTACCGTTTATGAAAACGGTCTGTGTCCTTCAAATAACACTTGTTTAAGTTTTATCAAAAGGTTTTAATATTCGTAAACCCTTTGTAAGGGTACATGAGTTTCCTAAACGCTTTTAAATAACTTTAAATATGATTATGGCAAGAGCACACTGGATAAAAGTTCCATACGGAACTTGAAAAACTGTTCTAAATTTTGCAATGAAATCAAACTTTTTAATTTTCATAAAAATAAGGACCCGTACAAAACATTTTTTACTTAGCTTCAGAAGGATTCTGTAGTTGAAATTTCGTATGGATTTCAATGCAGCATCGCTAAGCCTAAACCAATTTGTTCGTCTGTACGTATACAACTATATCTTTACTTATTTTCTTGTACATGTGCCTGTTCTCCTAAATCGATTTTCTGTCTTTATTCCCTCAGTCTATTTCTCTAAATCCACATGTATCCCTTTTATCTATTGTCTTGATCTATCCTTCCATTATATTCTCAAAAATTGGTGTTTATTCACTTATTTCTATAAGTATGTCTTCGTATCTATCTATACTGAAACCATTCAGAATAGGATAGATCATTTACATTATGAATTAACTAATATCTTAGTTATAAGTATTAATAAAAGCTGGGCAACTCCATCATCTTACCTGTTTATATTAACAGTCAATGAGCCACCTAACCGTTAGTATTAAGTTCAATTTGTTTTTCTCTTCATATATAAGTTTCGTAAAATCAAGTGAATAATTGTTCTTCTTCGACAAAGTGCGTTTTTAAACACTTCGAAATACTGCAAAGAGATTCGAATTCCTCGATTCCAAAAACTTCTAGGCAAGTTTTATTTAAATTATGCTCTACAATTTATATAATTTATGCATCACTAGAAACTATTTTAACTGAATATTAAGATCATCCTTCCTCAAAACTCATTTGAAATCAAGTATATTCAAATCTAATGAAATAGTTACGATAAATTTGGTCTATGATGGGAAGGTAATGCATCTAACAAAGATCAAAAACATCTCATTTAATCTCACAAAATTCTCTCTGGTCCTTCATTGTATATATTCAAGTTTTTCTTTGAAAAGAGCATGTTAGAATGCAGCGCCTGGCAAAGTCCTCTTTTTAACATTTTAGTTTTTTAGAGGAAGAAAAGTAAACATTTAAAAAATGGATTTGACAAGTGCTGTACTCTGATATGTTCTTTCAAAAAAAAACCTATAATTTGAAAATACAGGATGAAAACCCATAAAAAATTTTGAGAAGATCAATTCATCTTTGTCAAACCTGAAACTTCAAGTCAATTTTTGCATATCTCACTTCAGATATTCAGATACACAACTATTAGAGGAACTAGATGAAAGCTGAATCAAATATCGAAACATCAGAACGACTCAAGTATGCATTTATTTTTGAGAAACTAATGCAACATAAAAGTTTTGGAATTTTCTTTTTTTCTCATTTATAGTTCAAAACCATTATTTGGATCACGTTTAAAAGGAGCATTTATACTATTTGGTATTCTCCTTGGTATTTTTATTATTTCTACAATTGTTTTAGTTGTGCTCTTTGCTCATGAAAAGAATACTAAATCAGTAGATGGTATTGATTTCCTAATATATATATTGAAACATTTAATTTAATTTTAGACAAAAGTGATTTATGCTTGAGCCCATACTGTATTAAAGCAGGTAAATATTTAGTGTAGATGAAAAACAAAAAAAAAGAATTATTATTTTCTCTAATAGCTGATTATCTACTCGATAGTATTGACCAATCGATTGAACCATGTGAGAATTTTTATCAATTTACTTGTGGAACATGGCTTAAAAATAATAGAATACCTGATGATGGTAAATTAAACTGTTTATTTTGTGAAACACGATTTACAAGGAGTATTGAAGTATAAGGATAAAAATATAAATTCTTATCGCATTTTCGGAGGTTCAAGTGAATGTATATTGTGAAGAAATATAGCACACAAAAGATAGAATATAACAGTATATATACAACGATTAAAAATAGCAGCTTATTTTAACTCCACAGAATTTCAACTAATAGCTTTTCTTTGACTATGATCATTTTTGAATTATTTATAGCTAATACACAAGATATATTTGGAATTCTTAGTAAAAAACTTGACGAAAATATTGTTGGTAAAATTCTAATGAATTTATCTTTCTCTAATATGTATTTATTTGTTATTTTTCTATAGATTTACTGTCAACAATATCAACAAACGAAACTGGCAAACTTCAATCTGTTATTAATGCTCGTATTTTATATAGTTCATGTATTGATGAAGAAAATATTGAAATAGAAGGCATTGATCCTGTCTTATCATTAATTAATACTCATTTTGGTGGTTGGCCTATATTACAAGGTTTATCATGGAATAGTTCAATGTTTAATTTAACAAATCTATTACTTAAACTTCGTCAATACAATTATAATATTATCTTCTCAATATCTAGTACAATTGATGAGAAAAATTCTTCGGCAACTAATATTTTAGTAAATTAAATTGAATTACATCAATAGGTATTTATTGTAAATATGATATTGTTTTAGATTGGTCAAGGTAGTCTTGGATTACCACAACGTCAATATTATGCAAAAGAAACTAATATTACTATTGCTTATCGACAATTTATATATAGCTTAGCTGAAGCATTGACCAATGATACGTCAATGATCAATCAAGATGTCAATGAAATATACGATTTTGAAAAGAATATTTCAAAAGTTAGACTTTGTCATATTATTGAATTATATAAGTACTATGTTGAAGTCTGTTTTTTTTGTTATTTAGTATTATTGGACTAAAAGTGAACAACGAGCTCGATATAATGAAACACTTCGAACCACAATTTCAAATCTTTCTCATATATTGAATACTAGTGTAACTCTTTCATCTTGTTTTCTTTTTTTGATCTTGTATATTCTGTTTTTTTTTTTGAATAGTTTGATTTTACTACTTATCTTCGTCGCGCATATTTGTTTGGTAATGTATATCTAGACGATCTCGATCGTGTGACAATAAAGGAATTAACTTTTTTGATTAATGCTTCATCTATAATCAATGGAATTTCATCACGTATTTTACAAAATTATTTCATATGGCGTTTTATGATGAGTCAATCAGAATATATGCCAAGATATATTCGAAATATTAAAGAACGATTTGATCGAGTTTTTCAAGGTACGAATGCTGAAAAACCAAGAACAATAAAATGTGGTGTTTATGTTAATACAAATATGGGTTTTGTAGTTTCGAAACTTTATATCAAAAATTATTTTGATGAACATGCTCGTAATCAAGTAACGATAATAGAATATTTCTAAATATTAATTGTTTTATTGTAAATAAAGTCGTTAGAAATAATTGAAAATATTCGAAATTCATTTATTGATATAATCAATCAATCTTCATGGATGGATGATATATCAAAAATTAAAGCAATAGAAAAGGTATATATTGATAATTATATATTTTATTGTGAACAATAAAACAAAAAAAAAAAGATATTTTAGGCTAAAGCCATCGATAAACAAATTGGGTATCCGGATTATTTGGCTAGTAATAATAACACAAAACTTGAAAATGATTATGCCGCGGTAAGAGTTTAAATTATTTTGAAAAAGATTTGTTTGTTTTTTGAATATATCATGCTTTGAGATATAATCAATTAATAAGTTACCTATTTAGTATGTTTTCAATTCGTCTTATATTCATAATATTTTTAAAATACGTCAAATAAAAACTATAGAAAATTTTCAATTTCTTCGAAAATCTGTTGATCGAAAAGCATGGCAATTTCTTCCACCAACTATTATTAATGCATATTATAAATCATCTCAAAATCAAATTTGTATGTACTGAAGTTTATAATTGATTAGTAATGATTGCTGTCTTTAGTTTTTCCGGCTGGTATTCTTCAACTGCCATTCTTTAATAAAGATGCTCCAAAGTAAAAATTAAATAATTTATTATACAAAAAAAAAATATTCTCTTATGTTTTTTTAAGATATCTTAATTATGGTGGTATGTATGTTTTAATATTGACAGAATAAGATGCAAATAATTAATTAAGGTATTGGAATGATTATTGGACATGAAATAACACATGGATTTGATGATACTGGTCGTCAATTTGATAAAGATGGAAATCGAATACCTTGGTGGACTAATCAAACAATTGAAAAATTCAATGATCGTAAACAATGTATTATTGAACAATATAGTAACTTTACCGTACCACAAATTCATATGAATGTTACTATCTTTTTAAAATCACATTTTCTACTATTATTATTATTATTATTATTATTATTATTATTATTATTTTATTATATAGAGCATTGGTAATCAAACACAAGGTGAAGATATTGCTGACAATGGTGGACTTAAAGCTGCTTTTCATGTAAGTAAATCATTTAATTTAAAAATAAAATGTGATATATACTTTAAAAAAATAAATTAACTTAATCTAATTAATAGATTTTTGCTATTATAATAAATATATTCGTTGATAGGCATATCAAAATTGGGCTAAAAACAATATAAATGTTGACAAAAAATTACCAGGTCTAACGAAATATTCGACTGAACAATTATTTTTCATCAATTTTGCTCATTTTTGGTGTACTAAAATGACCGATGCATATTCACTCAATCAGATTATAACTGGTGTTCATTCACTTGAACATTTTAGGTAATTTTTTATTTATTCTATTGTTCTCAAAGATATTATTATTTAGTTGTATTTTAGAGTAATTGGTCCTACATCAAATTTTAATGAATTTGACCGAGTATTTGGATGTAAACCAGGTCAAGGAAATAGTCGAATAAAAAAATGTGTTGTTTGGTAGTTGTCTTTCTTCTACATCTCACTTCACAAAAAACAATAATGAAAAAATGTTTATTGTTTTCTTTTTATCTTTGATTAATTTTACCCTTTGTGAAATGTAGTTTAAAATATAGACATACAAATTTCTACACATCTATTTTATGAATTACTTATCGATAAGAAACTAAAAGAGTCAATTTATTTTATATGATCTATATTCTAAAGAGAAGTCAAATAGTAGAGAAGAGTTTCATATAAATATTTGTTATTTAACATACTCAATATATAAATGCTGTCACTATACTACTTTTGATATTGATATTCTTGTTCACATTGTCAATCTTTGAATCAAGTCGATGCTCCAAGTGGTAAACATTTCAAAGCGTACAATTAAACTTTTCAATTCCATCTGATTTTTATTCAATATCAAATTAAAATGATGATATTAATCAATAATGAATGGTTAAATTGACAATCCTACAGTCTCATCTATGAATTATTTAATAATGAGCGTTAATCCATTTTAATCGAAAATAGAGTCTTAATTGCAAGTACTTTTTTATTGAATGGTACATTAATAAAAGTAAATATTCAATATAATTATTCAGCATCCGTTTATTGCGATCTCCAATTTCTATATGAAACCTTATCGTTAATTCAGACTGTGTATGGGTGTGGGTGTGAAGTTTCAGTGTGGGTGGGTGTGGGTGTGATTGGGTGGGCATGGGTGTGGTTGAGAGAAGACCCAGACCCACACTCACATCCTACACACACCCACACCCACACCCCTCCTTTTTACTATCATCATCAGAAAAGCATTTACAGAAAGCAAAAAAATGAGTAAACACTATCATAGAGCGAGCTTGTATAAAAGGTTTGCAATATCATATTATATGATTGTATTTCGGTTGCAATCAACTAAGCACAGCACAGTAAGAGTCTTACCGTATGAATTTGTTTTTGTTTTCAATAGTTCTTTGGTACAGCTTGTCTTTCTTGTTGTATAATTTGGGATCGTATTCAAACTTCTCCAAGACAAGTTTTACCCGATCTAACACAGTTGTGAACTGTCTTAGATAAATCTTAGAACGTTTGAAAAAAGGATTTTCACTAATGGAGAGAATTTTGTTAACGAAATTCTAGAAAACTCTTATGTGATGACATATACTAGTGTTCTACAGCGTTTGCCACCCGACTTATTTGATTCAGAACGCTTGGCTGATCGTAAAAATCTTGACTGTGAATACTACACAGTTCTTATTTACTAGAGTAGAAAAAATAGTTTAAGTAGTAGTAGTATTTTAATATCGCATATGATCGGATACTAGAACGGTAGTTTATCTTGGTATTGAAATTGAAGTTGTCATAAAGACAAAGGTTTGTGTGCTGAGTATCGTTACTTAGGGTTTAAGAAATAATAAATACTCCCCGTAGACTTGGCACCTATAACAGCTATCGCTAAAGAATCTGAAATTAGTCAGTTTCGATCCTCTTTATATTCCCTTACGAACGAAAGCATATGCATTCCAATAATGAATGTCGGATTGGCGACTAAAATTGTCTAACTGAGTGTGAGATCTATATTGAAACTAAGAGGAATTCGTTGACGACTCTTCCATAGTTGAAGATACTGTGGTTTGAACCTAGTATCTGGGGAACACTGTCGGATGACATATTTACTCAGTCATGATGGGTTCGAGTGATATTGAGTTATCGTATTCGAGGTCCGCTTCTACGGAAACGAGAATAGCAATAATGTCTTAAGGCCACAGCACAATCGACGATACGCAACATTGTAAGTTTACCCTTATGATCACTTAAATAACGTATACCTTGATAGCCTTCTGTTCTCGTATCCGATCGATTGAGTATGATACTAAACTTCTGCTATCTAAATTAATTTTTTCTGCTTAATAAGTACAGTTGGACTACATTGATAACTACGTATTGACCTTGTATCGAACTTTCAATATCTAAGAAAAATTCATATGAGTAAAATTTGCTAATAAATCAGAGATGTTTTCACTAATTTGGCCAAAAGAATGTGAATGATTTCTCGTTGGAGAATTAACAGTTGCATGATTAAATACAAGGCGTTAAAAAACCAGTATGCTTCGCACATCGAATACTGGATCTATCGGTACTAAATAGTGAAGGTTATGAAAATCTTTCAACGTCAAACTTAGAATATTTTCAGAAATTCTACACTTTTTTTAGTAGAAATTTGAGGCACCAGTAAATCAGGAATAGAAAATTTTTCTTTCTTCGATATTTCTATATGGTTCTATAGAGCTCGTCAAACTCTACAAAATCGTATATATATTAAAAATACTGTAGGTCATCTTCTTGAAATGAAAAGTTCAAAAAACTACTTGGAAAATCTCAAAACACATCTAAAAACTCTTTTTTTTTCATAGTGAAGAAAACTGCTTGATTTTCAATAAAAGTAGTTGTTTCATTATTTTTACCACCTCAGACATTTCCAAATGTACTCATTCGATGTAGGCTAAAAAAACTGTGTCTAATCAGTATACTTGAAACTGTCTGAGATGGTAAAACTAATGAAAAAGCTACTTTTATTGAAAATCAAGCATTTTTCTTCACTATGAAAAAAAAAGCGATTTTTAGATGTGTTTTGAGATTTTCCAAGTAGCTTTTTGAACTTTTTATTTCTAGAAGATGGCTTAAAACATTTTTACTATATACGATTTTGTAGAGCTGGACGAGTTCTATAGAACCATATAGAAATATCGAAGAACAACATTTTTTCCATTCCTGAGTTACTGACGCTTCAAATTTCTACTCCAAAACAAAGTATAAAATTTCTGAAACTATTTTAAGTTTGAAATTAAAACATTTTCATAACTTTCATTATTTAGTACCGATAGATTCAGTCTTCGATGCGCTTTAATTTAGTATAAAATATTTTGTGGATATCATTTATAGTTTGAGTTGTAGATGGGAGCATAATGGTTTTTTAACACCCTGTATGTAACAAATATTGCTTAGATAATTCGTAAAAACGAATTTTGTGTTTGCACTTGAGTAAAAATTAACGATCAAAAAGAAAAATAAACCCACACGTAAACTGCAAATTTAGAACTCACTAACGCATCCACATTTTACCATCATTTGGAGTCATGTTTTATTCGAAGACCTATCGTATGGAGTGTGTCCATAGATTCTCGAGGTCTAGCCTATGGGGATACCCATAGATCCTCAAGGGCTATCCTATGCCGTTACTCATTGGTCGTGAAGAGCTTCCTTATGGTGGAGGTGGGGGTGTGGGTGTGGGTGAGGGTGTGGCTGTGGCTGAAGATGAAGGCGTAATACTATCCACACCCACTCACACCCAAATTGTATAGTGATTGAGTAGCATGTATCTTTTGTTTGTATCATCAAAATAAAACGTTCATCAACAAAATCGATATTTGCGCATGAATTGTTACATTTCAAGGAGAATATTTATTTAGTTTTTTTTTCTTGGTCATTGACGATATTCATCTAGCAGATCGAAAGAAGAACATAATCATCTATTATGTCATAGTGTCTATTAAGTTTTTTATTTTTCATCGACTTCAAATCTGGTAACTCATTTGACACTCTTCATCAAACAAAATTTATCTTATCGATGAAATTTGTCCTACCTAGATTTATGTATCAATAGTCAATTATTCAATTTAGTATTATGAAAACGAGTTGAAATATTCTATACCAATCTTTTTCGGTGTAATGTCATATAGAATATTTTGATGTTTTAAATATCAAATGATTATATATATATATTGCAATAGAAACTAAGGTTTGATCATAGAGATCAGTACAAGAATCTAATGAATATACCAAAAAGTGAACATCTATTTACCTTGATAACATTTCGTTTTAGCAGCATAAACACTTGCAAATTTACAAGTTTGAGAATCAATAGTATTTAGTTAAAAAAAACTACATTTCGTTAAATGAGAGTCACTGTTAGTGACGAAGGTTAATTATGGTGCCGCTGTGAATAAGACACAAGTGTAAGGTACGATCTTCTTTGTATGGCACTCAAACCCACAAGATCATCTTACTGGTTTTTCTTTCTTTTATTTCTACTTGAATAAAAATTAAAATACTTTAATATTCTTCTATAATAGAAAATAATATTTGAATTTCTCCTAGTTGAAAATGAAATTTCAATTTCTACTAGAACATATACGTGATTTTTTTGGCTAAGTGATATATATTTAACTTAGTTTGTCTCATTGATTGTTAATGATCTGTTATTTGTTTATATAAAAATAACGTGTGATGCATGATAAATGGTCCATTTTTGCATATCATTTTTCAACGAACATAATATGTTGTATTAAAAAAACGCAATATACCACAGGATGCAATGTAAAAAGTTTTACAACTTATACAAGATTTGCAGCAATCAAATATTGACCGTGCGAAAACAATACTTTTTTTTTTTGGTAAAAGATCAATTCGTTTTATCTCATATCAACTTTTTATCACTTGATATCTTCTATTTAAAAATAAAACGAAATATACCATTAGATGCAACGTGAAAATTTCTATAATTTATACAAGACAGCTTTTCTTACAGTTCTACTTTTTGTTTTAAAAGCGGACTAAAATTTTGAGCAATTAGATTTTGCTTCTGAGAAAAAGTCATTTTTCAATACACAACCAATCCATCTTTTCCTTATTTATTGGCTGGTCTATTTTAAACAAAATGCATCACAAGATGCCGTTTGAAAAGCTCTACAATTTAGATAAGACCGCCTTTTTATAGTTTCACTTTCTGTTTTCAAAATAAGCTGAACAATCAAATTTAGACCATACGAAACACGAGATTTTTTTTATCGATTGGTTTTTTCTGTTATTAGCTGATATCTTTTATTTGAAAACAAAAAAAAAGATGCAGCGAGAAAATGTCCACATTTTAGAAGAAACAGTTTATCGTAATTGTTATGTAAAAAAGCAACATTCTCTGCGATTAATTTTGTCCACTTTGAAAGTAAAAAGTGCAACTATAAAAAAAAGCAGTCTTATGTAAATTGTAGAGCTTTCCACGATGTATCTTTTGGTGCATTTTTTTTTAATATGACATATTAAGTTGTAGCAAAATGAAATGTAAAAGTGTGCCATTTATCATGCACCAACCGTTAAATACGATTAAATGAAAAGAGAGAAAATGTATATATCAATTGATGAAAGAATATTTTGAAAAATATTTCGAATAAAATAATTTTGTTCTTTTTAATGATGAAATTCAAAAAATGTTTTTCTTTTCTTATTCATCAAATAAATGAAAAAAAAAAGTATGCTATTAAGATGAATCAGTTTAGTTTTTCTATAAACAGATAATTATTTATCATTTTCTCAGCTATTATCTTCATATTAAAACAAATAATTATAATATCATGACTCGAACATATTATAAAAAATGACAAGAATCGGAATAAATCTATTTTGCAAATAATTTATTCAAGGTCGAAAATGTTCAACAAATATTTTAAAAATAGATCATTTATTTATGGTTATTTTAAACAAAACAGACTGAAAGAAAAAGATTTATAATGATAAATCTATTTATAAAAAAAATCTTTGTATTTATTTCTTTGAAATCGAATTTGAGGGAAACAAAAAACTTGTTTATTAATTCAGAGTAAAGATTGGCTAACGAAAGAATAAAAAAAAATATCAGCCGGTTGAATTGTTAATGATAGATACTCAATGAACTCTTTCGATATAGATCTGCGCAAAGAAAAAGAGATAAAGAACAAGAAAAAGTAGAAGAATTTTTCATGATATAAAAGTGTATGCATTGACATCAAACTAGAATTTATTTTTGACAAGATCATTTTAAGAATTTTCTTCATTTCGACAATAAATATGGGTGGAAAAAGTTCAAAAAAATCTTTTACTGAATGGGATTTAATTAAATACAGTAATATGACAAGTAATACATATATAAATATTGATTGATTTTAAATAAAAATATTATTTTTTGTTTTTGTATTGAATAAAAGATATTCCATTATCAATATTAGAAACAATATATAAAGATTTTATGAAAGCAACAGGTAATGCAAATAAAATGGACAAAAATGAATTTCGTCATTTATATAAACAAATGTATACAAGTCAACACCCAAAGAATACTGTTGCACCTTTTCTTACTGATGAAGATTTAAATACAATGTCAGATCATGTTTTCGAAATTTATGATTACGATGGATTAGGAAAATTAACTTTTGAAGGTAAACTCAAGATTTTATTTGAAATAAATATAAATAACGGGTGGCGCATAAATAATTGCCCTCTCAGTATTTTTAAGATTTCTCCTCTATTATCCCCGTGACTAAAATCCTTTTTTTTTCATCAAAAGATAGCGCTTGAATTTCTCTACAAAACTATATATGAGTAGGCCCGAAAACTGTTTTAAACATATTTGAAAAAACACGAAAAATAACGACATACAAAAATCTGTAAAATGTAAATATTAAAACCGTGATCATGAATATCACATCTACTTTTTGGTAGGTATTTTTATAGTAATAGCTTGTTTTGTGTTCATGCGGTCACAGAACTACAAAAAACTAGTGGATT